TCGACAGATTAAACCACCAATTACTCCTGGCTATATTGCAACACCTGGGATTTAAAAACGATGCTTGTAAACTTATCAAAAGTTATCTCACTGGAAGAAGTCAAGCAGTAAAAATCCAAGGACAACAATCTACCTCTAAATGCGTTACAAGTGGTGTGCCTCAAGGTTCCATACTTGGGCCATTGCTATTTACCCTATACACGTCTCAGCTCACCTGCAATTTAAAATATGCTTCTATTCATCTATATGCTGATGACACACAATTGTACCTGTCCTTCCCTCCTTCCGAAATTTTAGTAGCAAATGAGAAATTATCCTCTGATTTGGCTCTCCTCTGTAATATTTCTAAGGCGCACTCCCTGGAACTAAATCCAAAAAAATGCCAACTCCTACTTTTTGGACGGTCCCAATGCAGAGATAGACATGAAAATTTTGTCAAAATAAGCCTGGAGAATGAAGTGTTGAAATGTACTCATGTGGCAAAAAACCTAGGGTTATTCATGGATGTTCGCTTAAGGTTTACAGAGCATATTGACAATTGTATTAAGAAGGCGTTCATTAATTTAAAATTAATATATCGGAGTAAACACCTGCTGAACAGTAACATGAAGAAAATGCTTTGTGACAGCCTTGTTCTGTCACATTTCACGTTTTGTGACGTGCTCTACAGTTCATGCTTACTGTCACGTGACCAAAAGCGAATACAGTATATTCAAAATTATTGTGTGCGAATGATATCTGGGTTGAGAAAATACGATACAGGCATTAGCGCAAAACTGAAAGAAATTAAGTGGCTAGATATGAGTGAGAGAAGACGATTACATAGTCTAGTCCTTTATAATAAAATCATCTTTAAAAAACAACCTGAATACTTGTACCAAAAAATAAAATTTAGATTTGAGGCGCACAATCTAGATCTCCGGCATAAATTCTTGTTAACACCGCCTAAGCATAAAACGACCCTTTTTGAAAGGTCATTTAGCTATAACATAGCAGCTCTCTACAATGATGTCCCTATCAATTTAAAAAGTGCCCCGCCTGAAAAGTTCAGATTGGAAGCTAAAAGACTGATAATAAGCCACGTTTCTTGATAAGTACATTATATTACATATCTATATTTTTTATTATTTTTTTTTGGTTGGTGCTTGTTGGATGTAAGCGGTTTAATTGTAAACTTTAAGATAGACTGTTTTCTTTTTTTTTGTAACTGAATTTATTGTAGCTCTTTTTTTTTGGAAAAAGTAGCAGGGTTTCTTTTTCTATGAATTTATAGGATTGAATATGCATTGTATATTATATGTCTTTTTTTTTGTAAATGTATAGGTTAAGATAGGAAGCAATGCTTCAACTTCGCCTTTTGTAATACTTATGGATTACAATAAAGACTATTTATTATTATTATTATTATTATTATAAAGTAACATTATTTTATAAAAATTACTTATTTCAAAAAATTTTTCAGTACATTAAATCAGTATGTTATAACCTGAAAACTCTAAAACGGCCACTACACTACTCGCAAAATAGGCCGAAGTAATGACAAGGTATATATATATATATATATATATATATATATATATATATATATATATATATATATATATATATATATATATATATAAAATATAGCAGCAATATATTTTATACGTTGACTTGACGAGTACGTCATCGCAAATCGCTCCGCCCACTCATTTTATTGACTACCTGCAAATTTCTCGAATTTTTATTGATGGGACGCGTCGTCTAATTTTTTACAAAAAACATCGAGAGAATATCGTTTCCCTTCTCACGGATACCCCGTAGCTACAGAACGGACAGATGTACTGTATATATTCGCCTTGTTCTTTGCCTGATCTCCTCATTTCTAATGTGCTCCATCCTTGATATTCGACATGCTCTTCTAAGAAAGTCCATCTCCACTGACTCGATCATCCTTCTTTCTTTTGATGTAAATTGCCAGCATTCAGCACCGTATATTAAAGTTGGCTCTACGATTGCTTTGTAAATCCTTAGCTTTGTTTGGATGGATGCTTTATGTGACTACAGGAGAGGGAACTCTGCTATGTAGATCTTTCTTGGAGTTCCCCCCTTCTTCAGATATAATAGTTCCTAAATATTTATATTCGCTAAATCTTTTAATTTCATGTAGGTGTAGTTCAGGATCTTCAGTTTGTTCTTCTCCTACTTTCAGGTATTCGGTTTTTGTGAGGTTGATATTGAGTCCCCATCTATCGTATTCTTCCTCAAGTTCCCTGAACATATAGTCGGCATCCTCCTCACAACCGGCAATGATAACTTGGTCGTCTGCAAAAAACAAGGTCGAGAGACAGTGGTTGTCAATCTCTATTCCCATAGCTCTACTCTTCCTTCTCCAGTTTTTCAATGCCTCCTGGATATATATTTTAAATAAGGTAGGTGATAAACTGCACCCCTGTCTGAGTCCTTTTGATGTCAAGAAGGATTCCGATAAAAACTTCCCCTGTCATCATGTTTTTTGGATTTTTGTACATATTCCAGATTGCATTGATATATGTTTTACTCGCATTTGTCTCAACCAAGATTTCAAATAATTTCTTCAAAGGCACCGTGTCATAAGCTTTCTCTAAATCTATAAATACCAGATGCGTACCCAAATTTCGAGCTCTCCTTTTTTCAATTATTTGTTGTAACACAAAGATGTTGTCTCTACAAGAACGCAATAAACTGTACAGGGTGGGTCAAATTCGACGCTTTTAAAGGGAATCACCCTTTTCTATAGGAGATAGACGAAAACTAATATCGGTGTCTGGAGCTCAATTCTTGTCAAAAACATGATGGTGAAAACCGCATATCGATATCTGTTACCGTTTTGGAGTTACTACTACTTTAATAGTTTTTTAAAAATATGCATTTTTAACAAATCGCTGTAACTTTTTTGCTATGGAAAATTTTGTATTTTTATAAAAACATTTCCAAAGGACTTTTTTACTTAGAATTTAATGGTTTAAGTATGATTTTTTTAAAGTTATTAATTTAAGAGTTATCAACAGAAAATTTAATTTTTTATATGGGACACCCTGTATATTTTTAATTTATTGAAAAGAATTTAAAATTACCTTTCCAAAAATATAGCACACTTGCTATTTTGCTCGATTCCTCTTCGAGATATATTGTTTATAAAAATTCGTCTACTTTAAATAAGTAGGCTTTGAACGACGCCGGCTGTAATGTAAAAAAAATCTAGCTGTGAACATATAGAAGAATAATATTTGCAATGAGAGATGCAGAATTTTATAACAATTTGAACTATATTTAACCAACATCAACACATTTGAACTATATCTGATAACAATAAAAATAAATAGCAAACCAAGACATGAGATTTTGCTACAGGTGTACGACATATCGACCGTTTTCTGTTATGGACAGACGGGGCTGTTTTTGAACATTTCTCGCGAAATTTATTAACTCAGTAGGGGTAAAAGATACCCTCTCATAATTGCTAAGTATTTCTAATTCTTGTCTAGATTATACGGGCAATTTAGAAATAAGGACCTTTATTTTTCCGCAAAGATGTCCATAGGATTAGATCCATAGGCATTAAGTACGGCGGCCTCGACGGCAGACGGCTGGGATCTTGGATAGCTATTCAATTATTCTTGAAATTGGCTGCAAACATTTGCTGACAACTTCAGCGTTCTGAGGCGGTGCCTCGTATTGCTGGAAAAATATGTTTTCGAGTTTCATTAGGGGCATATCATTAACAAGAGGTCCAAAGCCTATTAGTAAAAAGTGGCGAACTTTTAAAAATTCTGTATTTCGAAGAGGATTATACCAAAATATTAAGTGTGCTATATTTTTGGAAAGGTAATTTTAAGTTATTTTCGGTTAATTAAAAATATATAGGGTGTCCCAAATAAAAAATCAATTTTTCTGTTGATAACTCCTAAATTATTAATTTTAAAAAAATTATACTTAAACCATTAAATTCTACGTAAAAAGGTGCTTTGGAAATGTTTTCATAGAAATACAAGATTTTCCATAGCAAAAAAGTTACAGCAATTTGTTAAAAATACACATTTTTGAAAAACACCCCGTAACTCCGAAACTGTAACAGATATCGATGTGCAGTTTTCACCATGATGTTTTTGATCAGAATTGAGCTCCAGACACCGATATTAGTTTTCGTCTATCTCCTATAGAAAAGGGTGTTTCCCTTTAAAAGCGTCCAATTTGACCCACCCTGTACAAGAACGAAATAAACATTGCATAATTAAAATGAATTAGAATTATTAACTATCGGAATTGTTCTTAAATGAACCAATTAGTTCATTAAAAATATTTTACCGAGATATGCCTTTAAATGTACATTGGGTTTCAATTACTTTAACACTTAAGCACACGGAGTTTTTTTATACTCGTAATAGAGATAACTATTAATAGAAAAGAAGGTAGAGCAGCCATGGGGGCGAATATGAATTATAGCTTGTCGCCTCCAGCGAAGTAAGAATGTGAAAATAGTGATTAAATTGGTCTATTGATTAAACTGATTAGAGATTATGGGCTGTTCAGGGAGAGGACTATTGCTAATATTGGGAAAAAAATAATACAAAGAAAACAAAGTACTCAATACTAAGAAAACAATGGAAATAGTCGTGAATCGTAATGATCTAAATATATCACACAATGATCCTTTTGGTTCTGATGCTAAAATAATATCGCAAATATTCTGATATGTCTCTACTAAGCTAACTAAAATCTGGATAAACTGAAATTATTATTACCCAGCATCATATATGCTTCATAAACATGGATACTTGAAATCGCAAACCAAAAAAGAATCCGTAAAATTGAGTTATAGAAAGGAATGCTCATAATACCACTGATACAGCATATCATTAACTATATCTAATCAATTATTGATAGAGATAAGTTTAATCTTTTTAAGTCCAATGCTCTACAAAAATATTCACTAATTTATTTTATGGCAATTTTACTAACAGTCTTGTCTTATTTTTCAGAGAAATTCATAAGTGAGAAGCTGATTTACGCCTTGATAGCTATTCTGTTAGTTATCAAACTGTTAGCTGTGAAGTTTTTATTCGTGCTGCCCCTAATCATTGGAGCTGCTACTGCCAAGAAACTTTTACTGAAAGTGCTGCTCTTCCTATTTCCTGCATTACATCACTTCTTCAAATTCTGTGCCTATTATCCGATTCAAGCAAAATACCATCATCACAAGCATCTCATATCGCACATTCATCAGGTAAATAGAAATAAAATATTTGTCTAATGCAAAATAATCCAATAATATTTGCCAATTTTTTATTATCCACGATTAATAGTTATTTTTTATACAAGACGATAAAATGGTATTTTATCGTCGACCGCGAAAAGATTAATTCACGAGCGATGAAATCGCGAGTAAATTAATTTCGGCAGACGAAAATGCAATTTTATCGCCGTGTATGCCACAACCAAACCAAACCAAACAATATTTTTTTCCATAGCGAGTTACGTTTTAAAAAATATTCAGAAATTATTATTTCAAGGAATTTTTTACGAGTAGAAATAATATTGCGCTGGGTTGGCGTTGGTTTCTATGTAATTTGACAAATAAATCAAAGAATATACCTAGCTAGAAAAAGAATGGACTCTGCCATACTGAAAAATAGTCCTACAGAAGTGGCGCCATCTATTGAGTAGGGCTTGTTTTAAATGGGTCAAAGCGCGGGCTTTTTAAATGAGCTTATTTATTGAATTTTACTCTAAAATAATTAAATTTGATTATTAAATCTTATTTTTTACACAAATTCAACAATACTAATAACAAGTATCGTTGTGATGTGTAAAAAATAAGATTTAAGAGTACCTATAATTTATACGATTATTAAATAAAATTAAAGCCAAACATGTGAAATATTATTTATTATTTAAAGTTTTCATTTATAAGTCAAATATTTAAACATCGTTTATTATAATAAAAGAAGACCAACGTAATACGCCTAAAGTTTTGTAAATGGAGTAAATATAAATAGGTACTTAAATGATAAATGGCAAAAATAAAAGACTTATATTATATTTTTAGGGCCACAAACAAAAGGAATTGTCTAATTAAAACACATATAACAAATTATAGTTTGAAAAACATTTTGATAATCATTTATTTGATAATATTATGATTGGTGCTGTAGAATGTAGAATGTTTAGAAGGGGACTAAACACCGCGACCTTATAGATCTATTGTGTATTCCCCTTTCTTGAATTATAACGAGTTATAACTCATCATACAGTCTCAGGGCTTTAAGAAAAGCCAGTATCTGAGACGGCTCCACAGAGGCCAGCTCTCCATCCTCGACATCAGACGTGCCAAGGTTCATGGCACGAATGGTCGTCGTCTCGGCGCACTCAGTGATAAGGATGATTTGGTTTGAATGACAACGACAATATTTTTGAGAATTTGACAATAATATGACAATGGCCGTTGGAACTATGGAAACTACAAAAAAAAATTCTGATTTAACGCCATCTGGCAATAACTAGTAGCAACTTCTTAACCTAAAAATTAATTGCACTACCACCTAGTGGCTAGGGCTGGAACTATTTTATTTCAGATTTCCGTGGAAACGGTGGACCCGCTTTTGCTATTTCACTTTCCCGCCCCTGAAATAAATAAAACTGTCTCTTTAGTTGTCAGTTTTGAGTCAATATTTTTTAATTCTCTTTCGTGTCGATTGCTGATTGAATTGGAGCCAGAAATGGCTCAAAATGAAATAAGTAATTTACCAACAGATATTCAGGCTGAGAAGACAAACGCCATATCCAAACTACTTCCATTTAAATCCCGAATAACTTATGAAAAGGAAAACAAACATTTTCGAAAATGGAAGCAGTTAAAAAACGTGCGAGGAGAAATAAAGTTTTTAACCTATCCTCGCTGTTAAAGTATCATTTAATCTACTCTTGCGGTTAAAGTACTATTTTATCTACTATTTTTGATAGATATAAGGCAATTTTAACAGTTGCTTTGGAAAAAAATTTTGCATTATGAGTTTAAAATTTAAAAGTTAATTCATCAAAATACTACAATAATTATTGTTGTATCGGTTATTTTGTACTTAACTTTATACTTTATAAAATTGTCCACAACATATGTAATGAAATAAAATTTTCATAAGGTTGCTCCAAATACTCATCACCATGATCATCACGATCACCACGAAGGAATTGAAGTATCAGGACCGTATTCCCATGGGCCTCCTGTAGAATATGAAGGTCCACATGACATACATCATACAGAATTCGATGATGATATTAGTGTAGTACCGGATGATGGATCTAGCTTCCATGGGTGAGTGATTATTTGATAGTACATTTAAATATAAAAGATAGTTGTGATCTGCTGACAGACAAAAAAAATGTTAAATTTAATTAGTATAACTTTAATTTATTAATTCATTGCAGTTTATTATACAGGGTGGTCCGAACTGTATTCCGGAAACTTCGGCAGCATATTCAGCAGATTAAAATAAGTAAAATAGCGTAAGTAAAATGTTCGTAAAGGTATGTCATAAAATGCTTAGTTTCGGAGACACAGGGTATAGAAGTTCATTTTTATTTCGATTTTATCCAAATAATTTATGAAGTAACGTCAATATTTGGATGAAAATTGGTGGCTGGGAGTTTTCTGATATGATAAAAAGTAATAACTTTTTGTCTGTACCTGTATAAAACTAATGAGTAAAAAAATATACATTTACGACGTTTTTTACGTAAAAAAGGTCTCTCGGCGACAATCGCTACGAGTAATGGTTCTCAAGATATTTGGAATCGAAATTATCAATACCTGTCATCATTGACATAAATTAAACATGTTGACTAAATAGTTGGTTAACTAAATAAATAACTAAATTAAACTGAAATGATAAATTTGAAATATTTTGTGCCAAAAGTTCGACAGAAACTGTTTTACCATAATTTTTTGCAGAATTGTCAATAATGACATGTTGACAGAATTGTCAATGATGACTATTTCCATTCTAAATATCTTGAGAACGGTTTTTCGTATCGATTTCTACCAAGAGATATTTTTTACGTAAAAAGTCACGAAAATTAATATTTTTTATTACTCAGTAGTTTTATACAGGTACTGACGAAAGGTATTACTCTTCAAAACAGTTAAAACCCATGTAGGTAGCGTCACCGACAAATAGGTGTCAGAGTGACATCAAAATCAAATTTCTCATGTTAAAAAAACTCTCAGACACCCATTTTCATCAAAATATTGAAGTTAGTTCGGAAATTATTTGGAAAAAATCGAAATAAATATGAAACTTCTACACCCTGTATTTCCGAAACGAAGCATTTTAGGACATATATTTATACGAACTATTTTACTTATTTTTATCTTCAGAATATGCTGTTGAAGTGTCCGGAACAGTTTAGACCACCCTATATTATTATCGAATTTACTGATAGCTACCTACCTAAAAAAATATGAATTTATTTAATTAGTTACATCATTTTTCTAGTGTTCTTTTTATATAAATTATATACATTTCGTTTACTTTTAATAAAACTATATTCGACTAAGGACAAAACCACAATTTGCATAACCAGTTAGGAGAAATGTTAGGAAATATTTATGAACTTTTAGATTAATGATTATTTTTTTCATGTAACACCATTACCTAGTTCCAAAATCGATTTAAAAAAAAAAAGAGATGCACACCGTTTTAAATTATTTATAATAGTGATATTTATAATATAGAAAATAATATTATACAGTTTGATACAAATAGGTAATTAAAATTAGCAGAAAAAATGTTACCCATAAATTCAAATCTCCAAGATCATGAGAGAACTAATATTATCTAATATTAATCTATTTGTTAATAACTAATGGTTTTTGTTTATTTCAGTCTATACGGTCTTAAAAAAGTTATAAGATTTACGAAAAAAATTAGTCGATTTTTGGTTTACTTTGGAAGAAAGATAATATATGTTCTAAAAGACAAGTAAGCATGTAGTGAAAAATACTAATCTAGAGATTTCCCGTAGAATATTAATTAATATAGAAGAGTCAAAAATTTTAACTATTGACAATTGTTTTTTTTTTGTGGAAATAAACCTTTTCAAAATGTTTAATCTAAAGAAAAAAACGATCGAGACTCATTCATAGAAATTCACTACTTGACTTGATTTTCAAATTACTTGATTTTTGTCAATCTTTTTGAAGACTTCACTTTGTTTTAAGTTTCATTAGATATTTTTAATCAACTACAAAATCCTGCAATAAAAAACTTTAAAGAAAATAGTAAATTCTAATGTTAACAAAAATCGCGGATTAAAACAACAATAAAAAACAAATAAAGTAAGAAACTATTTATTAACGTAAATAGATAATAATAACGTAAATATATATTATCCTTAAAGATTTAATAAAACTGATTTTTCTATGTATGGCTTCTTCCGCAAAGCTAAATTTAAAATCAATAATAGAAGCATATTTATACCGATTATCACCACATCGGAAGTGTACAATAGGCTTCAACTTCTAATGTTGCAGAAACAATCTTAAAAACATTCAGATACTTGCAAATTTTCTCTATTAATACCCATTCCTCATCTGTTGGTTTTAGAGTATTTCAGTTGATTTCATTGTCGTCGAATTGTAGCATCTCGAAGGTCGAGTTCCACCTCGTAATGACATAAGTTAACTGTATTGCCAAATTTAGGAGTTCTTTCTTTTATGGCCAATATCCAATCACTATTATAGGATGCGCAGTGCAACAAGATGCAATCAAGTAATATCAAGTAACTTGAAGCTGCTTTATATCAAGTCAAGTAGTAACGATTGAAAATCAAGTCAAGTCAAGTAGTGAGATTCTAAAATACTTGTTTTTCAAATCAAGCCCAGTAGTTCCTAAAAACATCAAGCTACTTGATGAATTCCTACTCATTCGTTTACCATAACATAATATTTTGTTTGTTGGTTGCTGAATGAGTCATTCAGCGACCAACGAACAAAATGTTAGCAACGAGTGTTAGCAAAAATTTTGAACTAGAATTGTACAAATTATACAAAAATAATTGAGAAAAGACAGTCAAAATAAACTGACAACTACAAACATGATCAATAACAATACCTCAAGCCTAGTACATATAAACCTCAAAAATTAAACATTCAAACATGTTAGCTTTAAATTAATTTAACAAAAGTAGTACTCAGCTTAGTTACTTAGCAAACTAGGGCACTCTCTTGCCCTTGAGAGCAGAAATGATCTCAAAAGGCGGATGAGCTATACGATGACGAGTATGAGCCAACGGCATAGGATCAGGCAGGCAAGGGGAAACCACCTGATTATTATCCCATGAACACTATGATGTTACGTGACAATGGTATATGGTTGCCATGCGATCCGAGTAGCGACCGGCGCTTGACTGGGTTCGGGCCATCAAGTGTGAAATTAGCAACCGAGCAGACAAACGTAGGTGACCAGGCTTTGTCTGCAGCTCGAGTTACTGGAAAAAACAACAAGCTTCCTCAGAAATCCAAGATAAATATTGGTACGTGGAATGTCCGAGGACTCCTGAGCGTAGGGAAACTTCAAATATTGGAGCGTGAGCTGATGACAGCAGAGATGGATATATGTGGTTTGTCGGAAACACACTGGAAAGGTAAGGGACACTTTACAACTGCTGAACATCGGATTTTCGTGTCGGGCTCAGACAATGCAAGCCAGAATGGAGTAGCCATTGTGGTTAACAAAAGAATGGTACAATACGTGGACAGTTACCAAACCATTAGTGACCGCATTATTAAAGTCACCATCCGTACAAAACCTACTAACATGCATCTTATTCAGGTATATATGCCTACAACTGACGCAGATGACAAACAAGTTGAGGATATTTATCAAGAAATAGAACAACTAGTATCAGCCACACCCAAAAAGGAACCCCTAGTCATTCTAGGTGATTTCAACTCCAAGGTGGGAAAGTCAGCTGACAATAACAACCTACAAAATATTATAGGAATGTACGGACTTGGAGACAGAAATGCCAGAGGAGAGAGACTTATACAATTTGCAATAGACAACAATCTTGCAATAACAAATACCATGTTCAAACAACACCCTAGACGATTGTCAACTTGGACCTCACCCGATCAAAAAACGAAAAATCAAATTGACTATATCTTAATAAGCGGTAGATGGCGGTTATCTGTTACCAATGTTAAGACAAGACCTGGCATGGTATGTGGATCAGATCATAAAATCCTAGTGGCAAAGTTCCATCGTAAACTACAGGCAGTGAAATTGATCAAAACGAAAAGGTATTCAGTACCTACTAAAGAAGAAATAATGAAAACAATGAAATCGGTAAAAATGCCCACACTAAAAAATGACGTACAAGAAATGTGGAATGACACTAGGACTTGGATAAATGAAATAGTTAAAGGAAGTTGCACATCTGGAAACATTAAATTAAAGTCTAAAACTTGGATGTCGAATAATACGATCAATTTGCTTGAAAAGAGAAGAAACCTAGTCATATCAACAACATTTGACAAAGAACACAAACTAAGAAACATCAATAAAGAAATAAAAAACAGCTGTAGACAGGATAAAAACAAGCACGTCCACGAGATTTGCACAGAATTGGAAAGACACTCGGCAACTAACGAATCTAGAGAGCTATTCAATAAGGTAAAATATCTCTCTCGTGAGTTTCAACTACGTACACAAATTATACAGGATGAAAATGGTCGAAAGATTACTGATCCGGATGGTATTGTTGAAGTCTGGCGAAAGTACTGCACAAAGCTTTACGAAGATGGTGAATCTTCTAATAATAATAATCGTCCCAACCAATTCGAACATGACCGGAGATCCTTAAATCAGAAGTTGAACACGCCCTAAATCGTCTCAAAAAAAATAAAGCCCCAGGTATAGATGGTGTAGCTGCTGAGATATTAAAGTCAATAGGGCAACCGGTAATTGATGTTATTCATTTCATATGCAATCTGATTTGGAAGACGGGAATTTGGCCAGACGACTGGTGCAGCTCGCTATATATACCACTATATAAAAAGGGTAATCCGGCAGACTGCAATAACTATCGAATGATTGCTTTAATTCCTCATGCATGCAAAATTCTCCTGCAGATTATTAACAACAGACTCAGGCCATATCTACTACCACAGATTGCAGAAGAACAAACTGGCTTTATGCCTGGTAAGGGTACCAGAGAACAGATAGGGAACGTACGACAGTTAATAGAAAAAGCGCGAGAATTCAACATAGAAATGTATCTCTGTTTTATCGACTATTCTAAGGCCTTCGATCT